TCCTTATCAGATTTTACGACTTTTCCACTAGAATAGTCTACTAAATCCCTTAGTAGCATTTAGTCTACCCTTGAAAGTTTTCCGTTGCGTATTTGTTAGGACGTTTTGTATATTTGTAGTGACAAAGCCTCTACATGCTATGCGATGAAGAATGTTTTTTTTTCAATTTTCCCGACAGAACTCACCTGAGTCTATTTTGCCATTCCATTTGCGTACACCGAAACGAAATAGTCCACTGCAGTATGTTCAACAACGGGTTAAGGAGGGAACTAAGGGAGCATAAAGTTCGACAATACAATATCGGTGAATTTTTGTCCAATATAGACTAGCAGTATATTTTGGAATTTGTCTGCCTGTTTCAGTTATAGAATAATTATTTCGTTAAATATCTGCCTAGGTCAACATGTCCCACGAACAGTATTGAAAGCTTTACAACAACGTGGATGATGTGGACTGAGGGACATGAAAGCTCACAGATTATTAAAAGTTGCTCCTGTGGGCTAATTTAGCCCTGGTCTGTGAAGTTTATCTGCGCTACATGATAACTTGGTTACAGGTTGCTTCCTTTTAGGGAAATTGCGATGACACAAAAAGAAATTGACTGCACTAAATTGCATGTTATACATACATGATATACCGTATATATGGACATATGTGTGGTTATAAATATGAGCGACATATGGCCGAAAAGAACGATAAAATATAATTAATGGTAATGTGAAGCATGCATGATCAAAACAAAAAAATCATTTACGTTTTGCTATAAGTTATTTAACTATAAGTTTATTACTTATTCGATAAACAAGCTTATAGCACAATAACGGTCGTCTTTTGAGACTGGAAAAATATTGTTCAGTGTATCGCCGAATAACACCTTGATCGTTGCAAAAGTTTGTTTTCCATGTATTTGACATGAGAATTTTAGTAGACGGTTTTGGTAAAGCAACATCTTTTTTAGCCAGTTATAATAAGTTTACCGCCGCCTAATTTTTTTCTTTTACGGCAAACACTGTGTTGTGTCCGATCGCTCAGTTATCTTCTTGGAGGTGCTGCGGCTGTGCAATTACGCTGTATGGTGTTTGGGCTGTACTCTGAATTCGGATTGGACCGTCATTTGTTTTGTGACACTTCCGTATGGGTACGTCCTTTCGTGGTCCATTGTCATTCGTCTAACGTTTCTTTTTTAAGTTTGTCTGTAATTATATTACCGTTTTTCCAGTTTACCTTGTTTTTCTCTGCCTAATGACCACTTTAAATCGACTGATATCAACGCCGGATTTTTTTCCGCCGAGAGAGCTAGGATACATGGTTACATAATATTGGATACAGTAATTGACCTAAATTGTATCATGCGTCTGAGTCACTGAGTTCTTTCGATACCTGCGTGACTGCCCATGAAATTGCACCTATGCTTAACACTGCCCCCCCGAAAAGCCTTTCGTGATCTAATTGACTTGGGTGGTTTGTGATTCCGGGCGCGATAGTTCCTTAAGATGTCTTCTTGGCCGGGTCATTTAAGTTGAGCGTGTGCAATCACATTTTGCTAATGAATACTATCCAGCTCCCTGATAACAGGGCTCTGGGACTACTTTCATTAGAATTTTAGTAGTTTTAGATATCCCAATACCCCAAATGCAGCAGCATCAACATCGCATTGTAATTCAGTTATATTTGATTCAATTTCTGGGCCATGATGTTTTAAATGTGCGGAAATCTCGGTCGAGTTACCGCCTTGCCGATGATGTAGCTTAACTCGTCAGATTTCATTAGTTTTTTTAATTTAATTGAAGGTCGATGA